TATATATATCTGCAAATCCAGAACAACTTCTTGGATTCATATGAACATAAAAACACATTTAAGTGAGATTAGAATAGATTGTAATAGCTGTTTTGTTATTAAAAGTTTATCTTAATCTGTTGTCTTAGATAAGAGTTTATTACTATGGTTTATTCTGTTATAAAATGTAGGTTAATTTACCATTTATTGATCTGATAATCCATGTAGTTTGAGGTTCACCATGTATGCTGAATGTAAAAGGGGAACCGTATAGACCACCATCCCTATCCTTTGCTGTGATAATCACTGATGGGGAATGCATACATACTTTCCTTAATTCAGTATTAATATTTGGGCAATTGTCATTGATGTCTCGCATTGAAACCACAATGGTGCCAGTAGCAGTATATTGAGGAACCCCTGTGAAAATAAGATATTTCTGGTTAGGAGGGAATATTGACACTATAATTATTGACACTATAGTTCAGATGGGAAAACTAGAAAAAACACGGAGAGAAATCTGGAAAAAATAGAGTTTTGTTTCAGAAAATGTTATCTACTTTCTTACCTCTGGTGATAGCCAGAACCTCTGCTCTATACTGCCCATTCATTACATAGGTTGATTTCCAGTCAATGATTTTGTTCAGTGTGATTTCACCAGTGTTTTGATTGATTCTGAACCAGGTATCTGGGTCACGTCCCATTCTATATCTGTATTTGTGAAGTAAAAATACTTAGCATTATGTTATGAATATATGTATTACATGTTCATTTTGCAAATAATATTTGTCACTTTTGAATATTTTTCTTTAGGCTGGGCTAGGTCCTATTGCATTTCACCTTCTTCAAGCAAAATTCCTGTAGACTTCAAAAGATGAAGACCAGAAAAACAATTAGGAATAAAGTAAAAAAGTAAAAGTCCATTATATTTTGACAGTGGTATGGTCTAAAACTAAAATCTTTCTGGATCCTGTAAATGTTTACTAGAACTCTTGATAATATCAGTAGTTAATTCCACAGCTCATCCCATAACATTCTACAGTTGTAAAATGGTAACATATTTTTCTGATTTATGAAAACTTTTCAAATCTTTGTAAATTGGATGCATTTACTTATACATACATTAAAAAGCAAATTATGATCCCATTAATTATCATTAATTTCAGCAGAAGTAAATATCGATTTTTAATTTTTTTTTTTACTATAGAATGAGCTGTTAGCGACTTCTTTCATCATTGGGGTTTTCTGCTTACTTTTTTAGAGATGATAACAAATTCCCTGTTTGTAGCAAACTTTTCAAGAAAAAAATATTATTAGGCTAGGTTAGAAAAAAACCCAACTGTTCTGATTTATTTAAGTTAAAGCTTGGTTTAAAAGTTATATTTTCTTTGTCTTGTGCATAAAGCTAAGGAAAGTGGGTAAGCAAACAAAAGCAATGTTTCTGGGTCGAAGAGTATACTGTTCCATTACTATTATTCTATTGGTAATCTATTAACATTTTTAAAGTTTTTTTTTAAAACACCCTTTAAAATACCTGTTCTTCATCCCATTGAAAACTTAATTAAAACACTTATTCCATCTACATAGTTAAGCAAAGCAGAGCTTACCTAACATTGTTTGCAAAATCTCCCATGTCCACATCTGTGGCTCTGTAAGTTGCCACTATATAATTCGATTTTCTGCTTTCTGAATCTGATATAGTAATCATAAGTGTATCTGGTTCAAACACTGGAGGTTCAATCACATTCATTACTGTTACTACGAGGGGTGTTCCAGACACTTGGAAGTCACGTGCAACAGAGTGGTGGAAGGGAGCTACATTTCTGACACCTATCATCACTGAGTGAGATTGGCGAAGTTCATAGTTCAGTTCCTAAAAGATAAACCACAGAGAACCAGATAATAAATAAAAGTTCCTTTAATTTTATTTAAATAATTTATATTTTAAATGGTTGAGTGACAGTGACAGTGGTTTTACTGCTTGTTTATTTTTTTAACAATTAATTAAAACTATTTTAAGATTATTCTTTCAACAGTTGAATCACAATATTTATCCATACCTTAATTACTCTAAGGATTCCTTGATTTGTAGCTCGATCTGTAACAATTTCAAAGCAGTTATCTTCATTACCGGATATAAAGAAAAACTCTGCTAACCAATTGTCTGAAAACTCTTCGTCAGCATCCAGAGCTTGTATTCGTAGCAGTTCTGAACTGAGTGAATTTTCTGAAATACTTGCTGAAAACTGGGATGACAAATAAATACCTATTAGCAAACACTAAAATACATAATGTGAGGAAAACACAGGTGACTGCAGAGATTCTTCAGAAGGAGGTCCTACCCACAGTCCATGCCAATTTAATAAAAATTGTGTGTTCAGGTTAAATTGTGATTCTAGTTGCAGATCTGAAGAGCTGTATCACTTCAAGTGCTTGCAGAGGCAGCTCAGAGGAAATGGATTTGTGCTTTCTATAAGAAAAGGTCATACAAAGACTGGGTTAATCTGTGAAATCTGTCTGTATTGCATGGGTTTGGACAGCTGAATGACTGGATTTCTTTGAATAGAGAGAAGTCAGTGTCAGGATTGACTTTTCTGAATACAAAAATAATCCATGTGTATTTTATCAAAATTGGTGCACAAGCAATTTGAGCACACTTTGAGGAAACAACCCTGTTAATCCCATGGGGCAAACACCAAAGCACTCTATGGGTTAGTAAGGTCTTGGTTATCAGCTGAGTTTCAAAACAGTGATGTTGCTTTTGGTACTAAAAACTTACAGAGCTTTGAGCAAGAGTTGGAAAGTTGTCATTGACATCAATAACTTTAACATTACAGCTACAGAGAGATGATATTCCATCTGCGGCTCCATCCCGGTCTGACGCCTTCACAGTGAGAGTGTAACTACTATGTTGCTGCCACAGAAAGAGAAATTAGCATGTTAGAAGGACCACCTGTATGTCTTAAACATTACAAATACTCATGTCTCACTACTGTTTCCTAATGCAGAAATTTGCCTTAGACATTTCATTGTAACATATAGAAAAAATACATTTCTCGCTGAATTTTTGTAAAAATGAAAGCCTTTTCTCTTTCCTTCCCCACCCTCCCATAACACATATACACCATGACATCATGTTATTTAACTTTAGGAAGGAAAATGTTACCTCTCTGTCAAGATAATTTGCAAGATGGAGTTCTCCAGTGTATTTGTTCATAATGAACATGGGTGGACCTGAAGGTTCCTGACTCTCTATCTTGAAGGCAATTTTAGAATTCAAGTGATTAGGTTCATCTGCATCTGTTGCAATTATTTTCATCACCAGTGTATCTAAAAATAAAAATTAATAATTAAAAAACAAATCAGAAAATCTGTTTTAGCCCTCCAAACAACTTGTCAAGACAGTGCTAAGTGTTGGGGTGTAAATATTATAAAATGCTACCTATTCATTGACATTTACAAAGAAAACCAAAAGTTTAGTTTTCTGGTACTAATTCTGACTGAATACTCATTACTGCATTACGTAAATGCATTAAAAATTAAGGTCAGATGGAGTAATGCAGATTTTCGCTGAACTTTAAGTCACCATAGGGACTTTGTAAAAGCAGTAAGTACTGAGACTGTAGATATTTATGTAAGAGATCTCCACAGTTTTAAATGAGAATTTCTAGGAGTAGAAAATTAGCATTAGGCACCATTGCTCAGTGATATTTGCATGTCTAATGTTGATTGCTGTATTTTTGGTAAAAAGAACCATTTTAGTGGTTTAAGTAAGGGTTTATTTACTAATATTCTACTGCAACTGTAATACTCAGGCTACAAATATTTGAAATAGAAAAAATGGGAAAAAATATTTTATATACCCTCAAAGAAATCAGTGTAGGTGTAATGTTAATCTTTTTAAATGAGAAGGAATGAACTGATTTATTTTAAATTTTCACATCTGAAAGAATTTGCATGTTGATATGGTTAGAAACTGGAACATTCAGCATTCATGTGCAAGAGGAAAGGGACAAGAAAGCATCACAGTGTAATTTTAGGCAGTGAGCTCAGGCCCTGGCTCAAGTAGCACTTGGAGATGCATCTGCAGCTCCTTCCTCTGTGATAGCCCTGGCCAATATATGTGAATGCCTAAGAAAAAGTAGAATGAACATCCAAGTTTTACAGTAACTGTATTCTGGAAGCTTCACTTGCTATACTATCATAGACATAACATAGTTACTTACTATCCATATTGTTTTCTTCAATAGATCCTGTAAATACAGTTTGTGAAAATACAGGAGGGTTATCATTTATATCCAGAACTCTGACTCGAAGCTCAAGAGGTTGTTCCATATCTTCACCCGTCATTGAGTGTTTAGCAAAGCAACGTATCTAGATAAAGAGATTTACTTGTTTTAAAACCAAATTGAAGTAAACAAAATAACAATGCAAAATAAATTAATTTGTCTCCTTCTGCTCTCTCTGTCCCACCCTGGATCCATCATTATAAAGGTAAAAGAAAAAGGGGAGTACTTACAACAAATACTGGAGTTACTTCCCTATCCACTATTGATGTTATATTAATTTCTCCTGTTCTTGGATTAACAACAAATATTCCATAGGGAGCACGATCAATTCCAACTCCAGAGATGCTGTATGTGATTGGATGATTTTCTTCACAATCTGATCGGATCTACAATAATAGATAATAATAATTGATGCCAGTTTACTGAGGGCATCTGCAGGGCTTTTTTACTATTATTAGTTTATGTAAAAAATTATATATAATTTCAGTTTCTCAACCACACATCACAAGGTTCAATTGACAGAAACAATGTCAGCCTAGGCATCCATCTCCCCTTAAGTGTTGGACAGGTTTCCTATTTCTCTTAAATCTTCTGGCAGGGAAGTGGAGAGAGAAACTTCCAAGAGTATTACACTTGTGGCTGAAACTCAGTAAGGGTACAGTCATGGTGAGAGGATAGGAAGACATCTTTGCTCAGTTGCCCACAGAAGTCATGCACTATCGTATAACTTCCCGGGGTGAGAGAGAAAATAAAAATATTGCAATATAGTACACAGATGAGAGAGAGGCTATTGTTGCAGCTGTCTAGGAAGTAGATTGATGGCAATGTTCTAGGAAGTCTTTGGTAACACCTCAGCATCCATGGTGGTTTACCTTATGAGACTGTCTCAGCAGAGATGGAAATACTGCATCATCTTTCTTTTATTCTACATTCCTTGCTTCGACAACTCTAAGCAAATGTACTTTTAAATCTCTCTGCTTTTATCAGTCTGTCTTTAGAAAAACTTCCTTGTCAGTGAAAATTCATTTTTCTTTCTACTTACTCTGGCAATTGGATTCCTCTTAGAATTATCTTCTCCTTCTCTACAAGCTGCAGCAAATTTGATCCATTCACGTTTTTGTCTTCTGAAGGTTCTCCATCTTGCCATTCCATTGTCATCCCATTCTTTTACCTTTGACAGAGAGTTCAAGTATCATACATCTAGTAATCTCAATCCATTTTAAATTAATACAGACATTTAGAACTATCAGCAATAAGGAGAAACGTGATTTTTATTGATCATGTGCTTTTTTATATGTCTGCAAGTCCAAAACTCTAAGACTTTTACATATGTACTTTAAAATTATTCCTGTGTATGTGATACTCATTTAGGTTCAGGAGAATTTCTCTTGAGAGGGTGAGCAGGTTATTACCTGCAATTGTTTAATATTTAAATATATTTTCAATCTTCAAGTCCAGAAATGTCTTAGTTCAGTATTTTCCATTTCATTTTTGCATTAGTTACATTTCATTTGATCAGAAAATCAGTTTCTAAAGAACTATATATAGAATCATAGAGTCATAGGATCATAGAATCATAGAATGGTTTCTGTTGGAGGAGACCTTCAAGATCATTGAGTCCAGCCATCGATCCAGACCTACTAAGTCTGCCACTAGACTATGTCCCTAAGCATGACATCTACTCATCTTTTAAACCCCTCCAGGGATGGTGACTCAACCACCTCCCTGGGCAGCCTGTTCCAGTCCTTGACAACACTTTCAGTAAAGAAATTCCTTCTAATATCCAACCTGAACCTCCCTTGGCAGAACTTGAAGCCATTTCCCCTTGTCCTATCACCATATCCATATTACCTCGACATGAAATCCTGTGCTGAAATCCAAGAGTACCTGCAAGAACAATGAGAAGATTGTCATGTAAAAATACAGGGCAAAATACAGTAAATAACACCCAACTGCCATACATTGCTATACTGCATGACAAGAGAAGTACTTAAGTCAATTGCAGCAGCCTATCTAGGCGGTAGCTACAGGTTTTCCATAAATGAGTCTGCAACTCATTTTGTTCTATATCCATCACTTGAATTCCTTGACAGTTAACATCTTCAAAATAAATTCTATCTTTCAAGGCAGGACTTTGAGTTTGAATGCATGTGACATAGCAAATTTCAAAATACATCTTTCACACAGATTTTTAGGTTGTAACAACTCAACTGAAGAGAGAAGTGTTTGCAAGTGTTGTTATTAAAAAGTATGTCAAGGAAACTAGAAAAGGAATATTTATTTATTGTAAAATTTTTATTCTTTATTTTTTTTTTTTCTTTTTTAGAAAGTCTACAGTAGACCCGGAGTACTTCACTATGTAGTTTAACCAAAAAGAATGAAAATGTTTTCTTGAAACTTCCCACTGAGGTTGAAGAGATTCAATATAAGATGGAAAGCCAACTGCAGTCATCAGGCAGATTTCTCTAGAGTGCAGTGGGCTTTGATTTGAGGTCTAACTATGCAACCAAAGTCTTGAGTAAATGAAGGTGGCAGAATCAGATGCAATATGTAATGGCTTTAAAATTAAAATAGTAGAGAATTTTCAATTTCTTGATTAGCATAACTTAAAAGAAGGCACAGTTTAATTAAACTTGTTCCTAAATAAGGTGTGAAAATGAAGTTCACTTGGAAAATGTACCTCTTCAGAGCATCTCTTTTGGATTTAGGACCTGCCTCTACTCTCTTCAGACAATAAAGGATGAAGAATACGGGATTTGCAGCATTTTTATGTCAGTTACACTTGGATAATCTTTTTCTCTATAGCAGCTTTACCTCATGGGACTTTCCTCACTTCAAATTTATTATTTATTATTTATTATTCAAGGCTGGAAGATTGGCACAGATGTTTTCACACTTACTTCATGTTAAAACAACCTATTACATGCAGAAGATCTATGAACAGCAGCTTCACTCTCCTTCCTCTCACTCCTCCCTTTCCCCCATTTTACCTCTCCACCATCTGTCATTTACAAAGGAATGTCTCCAATGATCTAATCTTGCCCAGAACATTCCCTGAGACCTCAGCACATAATGGCTGCCCTAATCTGCTTCTGAGTGAGAGAATTTAGACTGTGGATTTGCCCATTTGGTATGCATAGTACCTTCGAATTTATCAGACTATTCATGGAGTAGGGTTTTTTATTCTTTTTTCTTTGTGCAAGCTATTAACAATAAATGGTTAAGAAAAGTACTCTGCAGGAAAATCATTACAATTTGTTCATGTTGTGCTAAAACATAAATACCTTTTTTAATCTGAGTTTATGTCTTGGTGAATATTTGAATCTATTAAAATGTAGAATGGGGTTCAAATTCATGTGCAAACATTGCTCATATCAGAGAAGGTATAAAGTCAGACTCCATTTAAACTGTGGGGGTTTTTAAGCCCAGTTGGAAGCTCAGGCCTGTCCTTTTGTGATCCCCCTCAGAGCTTGGATAATCATGGGTGAGTAGAAGTGGCAGATCACACCCTCACCAGAGAAGCTGAGTGATGAAGTCTACCAGAAATAGCACTGGTTCAATATTTCTTATCAGTTGATCCCACAGGCAGAGCAGAGCCTCTTTTGGTGACTGCAGTGAAATCCTCTCCACCCTTAGGCTGAGATCCCTTCTGGCACACAAGCAATTGTCTTGACCCAGAAAAGTATGGATACAGGCATCCCAGTGCAATATTAGTGAATCTTGTCTGCTGTCTGCATCCTCGGGCCCATAATGTTATTTAACAGTGAAACTAGTATCTCACATCCAGCTATGTCACTCACACACAGCAGGCCTAACTGAAAAACTGCATTGAGTATCTCTGATGTAAGATTTATGCCTGCAAATATTTCTGTTCTTTTAGGACATGAATATTCATAAAGCACTTGCTCTCCGTCTATAGCGAGTTCTGTTTACAAGCAGTGAGGAATATACATTTTACACTGGAGTTTCATGCTTTGTTTCTGAGCACCAATAATGGGTACGTCAGGAATTTGTTCATCAGTAACACCAGGGATTGTAAATTTAGGCCCCGTATTTCCACAGTTGTCCCATGCTGACTAAGGAAAAACCTGTTCTTCTACATGTTGCTAATGGAGTAACCTGAAAAAAGTCTTGATGGTTTTGAATACAAAGTCCTTAGTACAGTTTGTGATGTTATCTGAAAAGGGTGATCTGAAGAACCTGATATGTGCATTTGGTATGTCTCAGTTACTGCTGTGTTATAGGAAGGAGGGCTGGCAGACACCAGACAAAATTGTCCAATTCACCAGGTAAACCTCAACAGTTCTGGAGTGACATCTATCCAACCTGATCGAAGGATAGTGGTTCCTCTGCCTTCTCAACCAATGTTTTCCCGTTCTCCACCGTCACCAGGTTCTCCCCACTGCAGTTTTCTGTTTCTAATATCTCTGTGTTGCAAACATTTTTTTTCTAGTGCTATTTCCAGCAAAGAAGTACTGTCTCCTAGCAGCTAACTCCAGCATACTTCTAGGTAGTGAACAAATTTCCCTTCTAAACTAGTATCTGAGCCTCTACATGATGTACTTTCTGTAGATTCAGTGATTAATGATAATTAAAGCAATAGGAGCCACTGAAATGTGTGAGATGCATCCTGAGGACCTTGGGGTAGGCAAGCTGATCAAAATGCTTTCCACATTTGCTGTCCTGTTAGTCTCTGAGAGACTGTGAAAAAATGGAAACCCTGCAGAGAAGCTAGTGGCTTATTGCACAAGCTGTTACTGGTTGGGGTTGGGACAGGTGCAGGCAGCAATCATGTTTATGGTGACTGTAATTTGCACAGTGGCCTGTCTGAAAGCTTGTCTTCTGTTGTAATGATGCAGAGCCTGAACCTTCTGTCCAAAGTGATGTCTTCAAATCACACTGGAGTTATTCTGGATTTATTCTGATGTATCTGGGAATTGAATTAGGCCCATAGGATGGTTCTTTGCACCTTCAAAGCAATTTAAAAACAAGAATTAACTAATCATTAATTGACTGCCAAGCAATATTATACGCAATTATGGAGTCCTCCCTCCTCCACCTACTCAAGTCTAAATGATCGAACACGCCTTTAACATCTTCCCAGCATTATTCATGTTGGATCTGCTTCTCTCTCTTTGAAGTCAACAGCCGTATTGTTATTGGCCTGGATGGGAGGAGTCTTGAGAACTCACACATATTATATTAGTCATCAGGGTGCCATGATAGCTCTAGTTGTGTCAGCATTTTGGGACTTTTACATCTTTCTTACTCAGCCAAAGCTCTGACTAGTACAGGGCTGAAATAACAAACCCTTCCCTTTATTCATTCTGCATCTTTTTAAAAAAGGATAATCTGGTGCATATGAAATAATGAGAAGCAGAGTTGGAACATAAGACAAAACCTTTTTTTTAAAAAGAAGCCATTTGATCACTTTTAAATTGAAACATGAATGCGTTTTTTTGTCTATATCTCTCATTTTTGTAGGCCACTAATGAATCTGCTTCTTCCAATTTAGAGGGGAGGTTTTTCAGAATGATTTTTCTGGCATTTTGTTTTCTAATTCTTCAGAAGTCAGGTGTTTCTATTGCTTCCTGTGCTAGCAACTGGCATCAAGATTTTGTATTGCACCAGGAATGGACAATCCATTGCTATTTCAGCAGAAGTATGACAATGCTCATGTCAGTCAGAATAATGTATTCCAAAGTTTTATTTATTTTAAAATATATTTATTCAAAGAATTGACCACTGTGGGAAAGTTTCCACCAAGATTTTTTCTGTTCTTCTGTGTCATACAGAAATAATGAATTTCCATACAGTAACTGAGCTTAAGCATTAGAAAAAATGAACAGAAAAGTAATTCCAGTACAGGGTGTATGCCATTATAATTCAAATTAGAGTTTTTCAAATTAGTCATGCTAAGTCTTCTCAGTAAATCTCCTCAATAAAAACTGAATTCTAATATAGCTTAGAGTGCTCTAGCTGAAAATGCATGTTTGTTTAGGGGGCCATTTTTATTGAGGGATGTAAAACTGCAGACTTAGGAACCTAATCTTAGGTGATAATTCCTGAATGCAGAATTGGTTCAGTTTCTATTTCTACAATAAATTTATTTGGCAGAAAAACCTGCAGGTTCCTGGCTACATCCTGGCAGATGTTTCATATGCATATGCAAGGAAAGGATTTGGCCCTTTAATATTTTTATGTGCAACCAAGTTATGAGTAGGAGGTGTAACCACAGCCTAACAACTGGAAAAAAAAATGAAGCGTAGATAACACATGGGAAAATGTAGCCAGACACAAGTGCATATAAAAGATGTGGTGGATTTACAATTATTAGATGTCACATGATAGCTGGAAGGAGAAGAGTCATACCTGATCAAACAGGCTATTTCCATAAAACGTGTCTGCGCAAGTATCACAAACAGAACTCCCTTACTCATGAGAATAACGCCTTTGAAGTCACATGAACAAGGGTTGCAGAATCAGTCCCACCAATGGTGAAATGCATATAGAAAATTATTCATTTCAGGGCTGGTAAGTTTTATTTTTTTGAAAGTGTAGTATATTAAAGTATGTGTAACTCCACAGCAATTTTATTTGATACAACTTATTAACAATATACTAACCAGACACACTGTTCAGACAGGGTTTTTTTTATGGAAGATTAATCAAGCTGAAAACCAAGACTATTTCTCAGAGCACACTAAAATTGGATACATAATTTATAATATATTTAATATCTACAGGTTTTTTGTCAGCTTTCTATGAAGTGCTGAAAGTTGCTATTAAGATGTGCAGGCCACAACTAACACTGGTGTGCAGAAGAATGCATAGTAAGAACAACGGTTGTTTCCTCTGGGTAGTAAAAGTTCAAATATTTGATAGTCATCAAAACATAATGGCAGTTTTCACAATTGCTCCTTTTTCCTGACCCAACACATATCGTGCATCAGTCACAATTGTAACAATAATCTACTGAAAGAATGAAAATGGCTCCAGGTTTCTGAGAGAAGAGAAAGGAGTAAAATCTCTTTTGAATGGACAGATCTTAATTACAGTACATTCAACTTTTTTTTGAACTTTGACACATCAGGAGCATGCATCACCAGGTAACTGATTAAAACAAATAGTCACTAATGCTACATGAAAATGAAGAAGTGTTGGTGTAGTGTGCAGCATGCCAGTCTCAGACACCTCTGCGCTGCATTAAACAAGCCGAAACTCATCCTCACTATAACTTGCTTTTGCCAAATTTTGTCGTCGTTTTCTTGGCAGCTTCCCTGTGTTGGTTAGTTCTGCTTTACTGACTGCAGAGCTGTCACCTAAAATTTATGCATTATCTTTTAACAGTAAGTCTTAGGATCTCATATTCTATAACAACAAACACTTTGTTTCAGACTGTAACATTTCTAAACAGGTCAGTAACAAGACGTTAACAAAAATTTATGCTTACTAATACATTGTGTAAAACAAAATCGTGTGAACACCACAGAAGGTCATTACTATTATAGAAATCCTACTCTTTTCAGTATTCAGGGCCATAAACCTCTACCTGATTTCAGAAGAGCAGCACAGGTGAGTAAAAATAATCCATGCAAAAATCAGATTGCAGGAGTAGAAGGACCTCCATAATTCTTTTAAGCCCTTTCTGAAAAATTTGTATGCCTTGATGGACGCATTGTACAACTATGCCTCTTAACCACAGCCACAACTTTCCTCTCATAGTGAGAAAAACAAACCCAAAGAGAGACACTTTCATCATGCATTCACTTGCTTAGCACATGGTGGCTCAGACACTAATGCACTACAAAACAGAAATTCTTTGAAATGTGAAATAATAGGCCAAGTCTTGATTTTTAATCAGCTAAGGTCTTCACTATGTTTCATGTTTTTCTCTTGAATATAGCCACAGGATTTTGTCAGCTCTGAAGTGCTCTTTCTAATCAGTTTAGAAAAAGAGATTTGCTCTTCATATTCCCTCAACAGATAAAAATATATACATAGAGCCAAACTATATCCAGTGAAGTTATTAAGATTTTTATACCAATAAGACTTTTGTTAATAACAGTAACTCCTTAAATAGTAGCCACAGACAACAATCACCTGAGAAGTCATGCATTAAATGCAGAAATTGACATACTAAACAATAACAAACTGCAGAAAGTAAAAATCAAAGGAAGCATTTCTCAGCACATAATGAAAATCTAAATTATTTGTATAGAATCTTCATAAGTGCAGTTTAAAATAAGCACAACTTTGTTTTTTTATGCTAAATTTCACAAAATTTTTTGGAGGGAGTAGTTTACACCGTAAAATTAAATGCTTTGCTGAGGAAGACTCAACTGGCATAATCAGAGTTTACAAATATTATTTTAAAATCTGACTTACCAGTAAAAGGAACAGAAAAGCAGCCTTTCGGTGAGGGAGCCAATCCATGGCATCTGACTTCTTGGGTACAAGTCCAACTGAATTATGGTTACAAGCTCGTTCCTTTTCCCCTCCCCCCCCAACTCTGGTGTCTACTTAAAAAGCCACTCGGTATCTGTCCTTCTACTCAGCTCGTCAAGGTGGCTCTGCCTCCCTCTGAGGGAAGCGCCGAAGATGCTGTATAACAGAGTGTCTTTCCCCACCCCAAAATCCTGGGCTGGTCTCACCTGTAATGCTTGACAACATCATTATTGCTCACAGGTAAAAGCTAAGAGACACACCTTAATTCTTATTGCACTGAAACCTTTTGTTGGATACGAACGGATACGTTTTAAAAACAGAAGGCAAGCTTTGCTGAGAAGATACCAAGTGATTTGTAAATTACTCACATTAAAATGATAACTTATCATTGCTTTGAATGCACCAAGTTTTCTCCTTGCACCAAGTATAATAGATGAGATTAATGAATATTGCCATAAAGAGGGTGGACTTTGAGAAATGATTAGTTTGAATTAAAATAGAAGTCCGTTTGTTCACTTCCAGGCATGAAGAAGTCAGTTCCATGCACACTGTTCACAGAAATGCAGCACTCAGAGCAGAATGGGGTTGTCATTAAAGATGTAACATTAATTTGGGGGAAAAAGTAATGTTTTATTCATTAGGCCACAAGAATACCTGATGCAGAGGAAGGGGACTTTCTGCGTTCACCAACTGCAAGGCCTCCCCATGCTATACCTTTCCCTTCCTATGGGTTGTGCTCTCTCTGACATGGTGGAGAGGGAAATGTGGGCATGTCCCATGCCAGAGAAACTAGAGAGCTGCTCAAATCAAAAGGTAGTGAAGGAAAGAGAGGAGGTGCTGCACAGCTCACTTCTGGCCTCATTTTGGATGGCACAAGCACAATTATGTGAGAGACAGAGAAATCAAAGAGGATTCCCCACTTTGCTCAGCAATAGGTCCCTCCATTTTGCAGCAGAGATGTTGTAAGTCTTTCTTTGCATCCCTGGGACACCTGAACCACCCCGTAATGGGCAAGAAAAAGATAAGAGTGAACTTCTGCTCTGCCACTGAAATCTGAGAGGAGGGTGCATGTGCTTCATCCCTGGACATGCAGTATGACTGATGTGCTCCTCAGCCTGCCAAGACCACCATGGTGCTGGGCACCTTCCAGGACTGAACTCAAGCTGGGAAAAGAGGGCTCAGCACCTCTGGAGTTACTCAGCACCTCCTGGAACAAGGTCTCCTGCTCCTGCTGGGTAAGCAGCTTCACAGCAAGCCATGCCTCCATGCCGCTTGGCACGGGTGCTTTGCTGCCTTCCAACTGGCTGGCGCTGCCCAAGCCAGTCGTGCGTGTCCCTACTGTCACTGAGTTTTTGGTAGTGAGCTCAACGTGCCCAGCAGTAAGTCAGTGAGGCAGACTGGGACAGATTAAGTGGATCACATCTAGGTTTTCCTTTTTCTGGGAAATTTTCAGCAATCTGAAATTTGCTTTTGGATTAACTAACAATAAGAAGTTATTTATTGCTTATATAAAATATGCATATTCTTTTATGAAACAAAGTATCGTATTTCAGAACTTCTGCCTAATCAAATATTCCAGAAGATGCCAATTTAAAAACATTTTTCCTTTTAGATTTTTCAAATATTTTGTTTAGGAGGTTTATTTTCTTATTTTGCAGAAATTTTAATGTTATTTTTCTACTTTTTTTCATTTTTCATACCATACTGATATAATCATTATTGCAGTAACACATAAAATATCCATATTACTAATGCAGTAGTCAGTGGTTGATGTGAGCCAGTGTTCTGGTATTTCAGAATTAATTTTATATTTTCTATTTTCTGTGTAGAGGAAATACATAGAATAAGGGCAAATGCAGCTTCAGAACGAGAAGTTCTTAAACTTCAGAGAGTTGGGTCAATAGACTCTTTTTGGAATACCAATGAAAGAAGATTGATAAAACTTATTTAATTCAGATTATTGAGGAATCACTGCATGTTAGAACTATATAGGAGCCTTGATAAGAAACCAAGAAAGGCTGAAAAAGCTTATCACTCAAAACTGCTCTTGGCAGTTCTGAATTTTCATTTTGACCACTGCATAGAAGCTGTTAATTCTTCCACATGTAAAATATGCATATCCTTTTACAGTCCAAAATTACTCATTTTCATTGTGCTAATTTTTTATTAAATAAGATAATTTGAGCCACAAAAGATGATAAAATGCCTGAAGCAACAATAATAGTCCCAGGAAAAGTGAAAACAAAACCCCGAGCTGTTACACTCTATCTCTGTGTGGTCCAGCTCAGTATGAAGAAGGGTGCACATGTACTCATCAGAAAAGATAAATAAGAACAATCATTCAATGGGAAAACTTGTCACATAATTTCAAACAGGATTTCAAAACAAGTAGTCAAACTTTCAAAAACATAATTTGCACATTAATCATATTTTTTAAAGTATTTAAGTCTAAAAAAAAAAGTTACCAAAAAAAGGTACAGTAGCTTGGTCTGGCTTGTAGAAGAAATCCTAAACCACTGACCATTACCCTTTGGGAATATTGGATTCCACAGAATCACAGGAATCACAGAATCTCAGGAGTTGGAAGGGACCTCAAAAGATCATCCAGTCCAACCCCCCTGCCAGAGCAGGATCACCTAAACTAGGTCACACAGGAATGCGTCCAGGTTGGCCTTGAATGTCTCCAGAGAAGGAGACTCCACAACCTCTCTGGGCAGCCTGTTCTAGTGATCTGTAACCCTCACAGTAAAAAAGTTTTTCCTCATGTTCACATGGAACCTCCTATGCTCCAGCTTGTACCCATTACCCCTTGTCCTGTCATTGACTATCACTGAGAAGAGCCTGGCTCCTTCCTCCTGACACTCACCCTTTACAAATTTATAAACACGAATGAGGTCACCCCTCAGTCTCCTCTTCTCCAAGCTAAAGAGACCCAGCTCCCTCAGCCACTCCTCATAAGGGAGATGCTCCACTCCCTCAATCATCTTTGTGGCTCTGCGCTGGACTCTTTCAAGCAACTCCCTGTCCTTCTTGAACTGAGGGGCCCAGAATTGAACACAGTATTCCAAATGCAGACTCACCAGGGCAGAGTAGAGGGGAAGAAGAACCTCTCTCGACCTACTCACTACACCCCTTCTGATACGCCCCAGGATGCCATGGGCCTTCTTGGCTCCAAGGGCACATTGCCGGCTCATGGTCATCCTGCTGTGCATCAACACACCCAGGTCCTTTTCTGCCTGGC